AGTGAAGCCCTTGGCACCCATGCTTTCCCCAAAGAGCCTCAATTGGCACCTATTCTGATGCCATTTTGACACCAGAGGAAACTTGGCCCACCCTTCAAGAAAGTTCCAGGCCTACTAAGTTTGATTTTTGCCACTTTTGTATTCTTGTTCTAGATTTTTCAATGAGAGTCTGCAAAGAAATGTTGCAGTGGAGTATCTGCTTCTAGCTAGACCATGGTGACATGAAACTGGATATGCTCTAATGTCATTAAATTACTTCTGTTCCTGTCCCAGAGTGCCATAGAGTTGTGCTGGAGGACACAGCAAGGTATCCCTTAATGAATGTGCAAGGTTCTCCATGGCAACAATATGATAACTTCTAGGGGAAGCATGCCATAGAATCACATGAAAGCCATTTTGAGAATAGGATTTGTTATCTTAGATAGTTCCTTTACTGTTCAGACTAAAACCTAGAACAGATACACTGACTAACTTGCACCAGAGTCACCAGACTTCATTGCATGTTTTTGTTGTTTATCTCTCCTGTATTTTTAATTTCTCAGGTTCAATTTATTGAACCTTGAGATTGTCCGAGGCTCTTGGAAGATCTTACGGGGAACGGAGATGGTTCTCAACTTCCAAACAAAATGCACTCTAAATTTACCTGGGTGAGTCATCTTCAAGATTTCCTTCCTATTCTACTGGCTCTAAGATTAGTGTGAAAACAGGGTGTGGGGGGGGGGGGGATTCCTTACTCCAGAGGCACACTACTGATCTTCCATTGATCCAAGCCCTGGTTTAGCTCCAAGTATCTCTAGCTAGAAGGGTTCCAAATAACATGGTTGAGGATGCATCTAGGATGAAAGAAGTTAAACTTATTTGGCTCAATGTGATGGAATCTTGAGAATTATGGTTTGGGAAATCAAGGCACAAGTGGCTGAACCTTCTGCTACTTTTCTTTGATTCTCAGGTTACTCCGTTTTATGAGTGGATCTTCTGCGGAGATGAACGTCACTGCTCACCTCGCATTCATCCAAAACAAGCCTGGAGACCTCAAGCTGGAGCTCAAAAACTGTAAGGATCTTGTTGGAGGTTTCTCCATCAACATGCCCAAGGGGTGAGTGACTGAAAAAGAGGATGAATCCTATCGGTTGAGGCAGACGGGTTCTCCAAATCTTTCCCTGTCCTTCATGAAGTTCAGTGAACCCTCCTTTTATGTTACTTCGTGGCAGCAGAACTTCAAAATAGTACTGTTTGGTACTCTAGCTCCCAGAATCCCCCATTTGGGTCAACTGTCATCGGCTGATATCCAACATGGTTCAGCATAGTTTAGGACTTGTCTTAACTAATGGTAAACAACATACCTACAACTCATGGGGACTTCTAGTAAGTGCCTGGAGCTCTCTGCCCTTAACTCACCTTTGCTAATGAATGGTTTCCATATTACCTCAAACAAGATATGTCTATTATTTACAGGTCTTCTATTAGTATATTGAGATACTCACAAACATAGCAAGACACACGAGGATGGCGATAGATTACAGATGAGGAGAGATCATGGCCTGCTATCTAAGATGGAATAGAGCAAACACATGGCAAAGAGGCAGTTCACATATAGGCCACTTGCATTCTTCCCTCCAGGGATTACAGGAAATGGCCCAGCTGTCACATCTCTACTTTTTAAACCCCTTCAGTGGACTGTCCTGTGGACACATGTCTGTAAGAACTGTATTTTTCTGCACTGGAGGTACATCCAATGCTTACCTATCTAATACAGCATTTTCTACCTGACAGACATGACCTTAATCAATGGCTTCCCTAGTATTGTCGAAGGCTTTCATGGCTGGAATCACTAGGTTCTTGTGGGTTTTTTCGGGCTATAGGGCCATGTTCTAGAGGCATTTCTCCTGGCGTTTCGCCTGCATCTATGGCAAGCATCCTCAGAGGTAGTGAGGTCTGTTGGAATTAGGACAATGGGTTTATATATCTGTGGAATGGCTGGGGTGTGGGCAAAGAGCTCTTCTCTGCTGGAGCTAGGTGTGAATGTTTCAACTGACCACCTTCATTAGCATTTGAAGGCCTGGCTGAGCCTGGGAAAATCTTTGTTGAGAGGTGTTAAGATGTGCCTGGTTGTTTCCTCTCTGCTGTTTTGCTGTTGTAATTTTAGAGTTTTTTAATACTGGTAGCCAGATTTTGTTCATTTTCATGGTCTCTTCCTTTCTGTTGAAATTGTCCACATGCTTGTGGATTTCAATGGCTTCTCTGTGTAGTCTGACATGGTGGTTGTTGGTGTGGTCCAGCATTTCTGTGTTCTCAAATAAAAAACTCTAAAATTACAACAGCAAAACAGCAGAGAGGAAACAACCAGGCACATCTTAACACCTCCCAACAAAAGATTTTCCCAGGCTCAGCCAGGCCTTCAAATGCTAATGAAGGTGGTCAGTTGAAACATTCACACCTAGCTCCAGCAGTGAAGAGCTCTTTGCCCCACCCCAGCCATTCCACAGATATATAAACCCATTGTCCTAATTCCAACAGACCTCACTACCTCTGAGGATGCTTGCCATAGATGCAGTCGAAACGTCAGGAGAAATGCCTCTAGAACATGGCCATATAGCCCGAAAAAACCCACAAGAACCTAGGCTTCCCTAGTGTTGGTGCCACCCAGTGCTGTAACCTGTGGTGTCATTCCCTTAGACCACTTCTCAAGCCAAAACCCAATATCCTAGCTAAAGTATAACAACATTTGAGAGATGTAGGATGCCATACATTAACAAGATTCTCAAAGATACAAATGCCCTGAAATCTGGTGGTGGAAACAAAAGAAGCATTTTGGAATTGAGGAATCCATGCAGGAACTTCCACTGAGGTTCTTTTGTGCTTTTTCTCCACAGCCTCATAGGCATACTGATGAATGGTTTAATTAACACCGTACTCCATACCCTCCTTCCTACCCTGGTGAGTGGTCTCTTGGGTTATAAATGGCCAGAGATGAGAAAAAAGTGAAACTATTGGCAGCAAGAACAACACTTCTAACATTTTGCATCCCTAGTTTCTGTTGGTCATGCTGTTCTTCCTTGCAGGTGTGCCCTCTGTTTCAAATCTGGTTCACTATCATCAACTTGCTACTCCATCTCCTCAATGGTAAGTGTTGCATGTTTGTGGGTGCATCTACACTGTAGAATCACTGGCTCAGGTCTATGGAATCATATAGTTTGCTTTGGCAGGTTGTTGGACAAGGAGCACAAATCTTCTTGACTGTATTGGGGAGAAAAATGTCACGTTCTGTTTAATTTGAGCTGTCAGAGAGGTCTGAAACTTTCAGTTTGAACCTCCAAGGAACCGTTCAAGATACTGAACAAATTTTGGGTTGTGGCACCTAGGAGACCTCCTTTAATGTTCAGGCTAAAAGTCATGGGGGCAAATTCATCTACCCATTGATATTTCAAGAGGAATGTCTTTCCCTAATATCTCTCTACAAAATTGGAAGGCCAATTGGAAGACTATTCGGATAGTCTATGCAGTAACAACCAATTCAATAATGACGGCATTGGACAAGGAATGGAAATGGATTATGAGATCGGTATTCTGATTCTAAGTGTGGCGTTGATGATTATGTGTTGTTTGTATTGTGTGTCTTATACATTGTTTAGTGTTGTTTTTTACTGTAAACCGCATAGAGTCGCCGCTTTAGGCTGATATATGCGGTATACAAATGGAGTAAATAAATAAATAAATAAATAAATGTGGAGGGACTAAGGATCCAAATGTATTGAAAGAAATGTATTTCCTGTCCTCCACCCTGCTGGAACAGAATGGGGAGCTTGAGCTTAGTTCTTGGAGACCTCATTCAAAGAAGATAAAAGTTAGAATCATAGGATCATTTGTAACCATTTTGTACTTTTAACAACCACCATGACAGACTACACAGAGAAGCCATTGAAATCCACAAGCATGTGGACAATTTCAACAGAAAGGAGGAAACCATGAAAATGAACAAAATCTGGCTACCAGTATTAAAAAACTCTAAAATTACAACAGCAAAACAGCAGAGAGGAAACAACAGGCACATCTTAACACCTCTCAACAAAAGATTTTTCCCCCAGGCTCAGCCAGGCCTTCAAATGCTAATGAAGGTGATCCGTTGAAACATTCACACCTAGCTCCAGCAGAGAAGAGCTCTTTGCCCCACCCCAGCCATTCCACAGATATATAAACCCATTGTCCTATTCCAACAGACCTCACTACCTCTGAGGATGCTTGCCATAGATGCAGGCGAAACGTCAGGAGAAATGCCTCTAGAACATGGCCCTATAGCCCAAAAAAACCTACAAGAACCTAGTGATTCCAGCCATGAAAGCCTTCGACAATACGTTTTGTATTTTTTTCACAATGGTTTAATAATTCATTCTATTGTAATATTTATATTTTGTAGTTGTTAAAATTGTACAGTTTTCGATGATGTGAGATACTTTCAATCTAAGTCCAGGGAGAAAAGCGGGATATATAATTAAAGATGCTGATGGTGGTGATGATGGAATCACTGAAATTAGAAGTCTCTCATGTAATGAAAATACTTTTCTATCTAAGTAACATTTCTAGCTGGTTAATAATAATAATAATAATAATAAACCTTTATTTATACCCCGCTACCATCTCCCGCAGGACTCGGTGTGGCTTACAAGAGGCCGAGCCCAAATACATCATAAAACATAACAACAACAATACAACAATAAATACCTCATAACAAAAGCAAAACAATACAATAATGACATGACACAATTAAAAACCTGTGGCAGAGCCAAATGTAAGAATTAAGATTTTAAAATGCTGGGCATGTCCAGGGAAATAGGTTGGATATTTTAAAGATAGGTGGGCGTGCAGACAGTACTAACTCTCTCGTAAAGTGCATTTGGAACAAATTGCTTGGGAGTCCTTATTCTGGGAAGGCACATTGGAACATCCACGTCTTCAAGCTCCTTCTAAAAACTGCCAACGTTGGGACCTGCCTGATGTCCTTGGGGAGGGAGTTCCAGAGTCGTGGGCCACCACCGAAAAGGCCCTGTCCCTCGTCCCCACCAATCGCGCTTGCGATGCAGGTGGGATCGTGAGCAGGGCCTCTCCAGATGAACGAAGAGATCGTGTGGGTTCATATACAGAAATGCGGTCACACATGTAGATGGGTCCCAAACCATTTAGGGCTTTGTAGGTAAGCACCTGCACCTTGAATTGGGCCAACCAATTGTGTAGCCCGTTGTCAACCTTTGCAACCCGAAACACAGTTGAATCTGTCAAGTAGGAAAATAAGGTACCACCTTAAAGTGTGGGGAGGCTAAATTAACTGATTTATGAGGCCATAAAAAAAGACTTCAGCAAAAAGCATGCGGGGAATGCGGAAGTGCTTCATCAGTGTCGCAGATGGACGATGAAAGCGACAGCCCCCCTGGTGGCCAGAAAAAGTTAAATAGCCTCTGTCTATGTCTGTATATGTTGTATGTCAAAATTGGCATTGAATGTTTGCCATATATGAGTACACTGTAATCCCGCTGAGTCCCCTGCGGGGTGAGAAGGGCGGAATATAAAAGCTGTAAATAAATAATAAATGATATCCCACCCACATTTTGTTCTGTGTTCAGATATCTTCCTTGGTCTCCCGGGCCAAATTATCTCAGCTCTTTCCAGTGTGCCACTTTCCACAGGGCAGTTTACAGAGCTTGACTTTAAGGTAGGTCCACATTTCCTTTCACTTGGTTATTGCTGCAGTGCTTGGTATATGACTTGGGCATATACTGAAAAGACAATTGAGAAACAATGTGAGATGTGTGATTGATACAATTGAATAACTAGAAAGTCATACATGAGAAGCAAGTGGTCCTGATATTTCTAGATACTGTAAAGGCATTGGATGATGTATATTAGAAGTATAATAGAAAATATGAACTTTGATTGATGGATATCATGCGATGCCTAGAAAGACATAATGAGAAGATGCATTTCTCATATATCTATATTCTGAAAAGGCATTTGATAATGTACTTGGAAGCTCATGTTTGTAGTAATAGCAAAGATAGATTTTGGTTGATGGATGCAATGGAATTGAATACACTGAAAGACATAATGAGAAGGAAACAGCCCTGATATTTTTAGACACCGAGAAAGCATTTTATAGTGTACACTGGAAGTAATAGAAAAGATGGATTTTGAAGAATTTATAATGGAAGAGCTAGAAAGAAATACACAAGAAGCAAGCAGCTCTGATATTTCTAGATGCTGAAAAGGCATTTGAAAATTTAAATTAGAATTTAATGTTTGCAGAAAGAGAAAATATGGATTTGGTCAATTGATTTAATGGAATACCTAGAAAGACATAATGATCCACAAACATTATGAATATTTCTAGATGCTGAAAAGGCATTTGATAATGCACATTGGAAGTAACAGGAAAGACAGATTTAAGTCAAACTTTAAGTACTAGGATAAAATAAATTTATGACAAACAATATGCTAAATTCTTAGGAAACTGGGGAATTGATGGACATTTGTAAAATTTAGAAAGATTTGCAACAAGGGTGCCCACTTTTTCCATAGCTTTTATTTTGAGTTTGGAAATACATTTGAGAGAGATAAGGCAAAATGAAAGACTGAAGATAAAAAAGTATCTGCAAAACTGAGGATTTTTGTTGATGACGTAATGATTGTGTTAGAAGATCCTTTGGAAACTATGAACCCACTTTTAGAAATATTGGAACAGTATGGAGAATTAGCGAGTTTCAAAATTAATACCACAGATAATGACTAAAGATGGCAGACAAAATACAATAAAAAGAGAAATATTAACATATTAAAACATATTTTTAAAAGAGTGAAGTATTTAGGATAACTCCAACCAGTTTTCAAGGGAAATAATACATTTTTTCTTATGGTACACTGTAATGCTATATTAGGTTACCTGCATTTTGTATTCTGGGGATTTTCTGTAATTTTCCTATATGTTCTTTGATAAAACTTATGAAATATGTGTGTGTGTGCGTGTGCATGTGTATAATACATTAAGTAAACTAAGGAAGCCAAATTGCATGGAAACACTGTCCACCTTTGCTGTTCTCTGTGTTTGCAAGTTATTTCCATGCCTTCAAGTCATATCCTCTTCTGGTTTTATCACATCTGGTTGTCTTTCTTCTCTTACTTCAGGACAAACCTTTTCCTGGAGCTTTCCTCCAATGGCTTCTTAACCGTAAGTCCCTTTTCTTCTTCCATGTCAACCTTATGGCCAGATGAGAAAAGTGCTGCACAGATGAACATTTCCACAGTTCAGGACTTATTTTGAACAAAATTCACATGGCAGTTGTTTTATGCGAGATACATCACTTCCTGTATAGAAAACAGCATTTTCTGTATGGTTAATAATATGTCAACAGAAAAATACCAAAAAAATCTGTGTTGAAATATTAGTTTCTGTCAAACAAATGACCTTAATTGAGGTTTTATTCTATGCTCATAGCTGATTTGCATAGAAAGTATCATTTCAGGGGAATAGAGTTTATTTGTTACTTCTAAAAAGTAAACATGGGTTTATTTTTGTATTTTATTATTTTGTTTTGTTTTCTGTTTTCACAACTGTCCTTTTTATTTTACTTTTTCAATTTGTTGGATTTAAGTGATTTTATCGAAAATCTAAACAAACGGAATTACAGAAAAAGAAGGTGTCATTTTCTGCCGAGAACATAGCATTTTCTGAACACACGTTCTACATTTCTGCATTGACATACTATGCAGAAAATGCTGCTCCCTGGACAGAAATTCTATTTTCTGTGCAAAATCTGAAAATTTTGCACAAAATAAATCCTGAATTGGAAATAGCCTTTGAAAAGTATGTTGTTTTTGAATGCATTCCCTCTACAGGAAAGAAATAGCAGGAATTATTTATCACTGCCTTTGAGTAGCAACTTTATGGAGAATTATACTCCGAGATCAGCTATTCCTAAGGAATAGAGGGAGAAGAGTAAAATGGCTCTGAGGGGAAACCTTAAAATGAGAAAAGTTTGAAAATTAGAAGCCATTTATCTACTTGCTTCTCTCTAGTTGTAGCATCAACGGGCAGCAGGAAGTCTTCATGATGGGCTCCTACAAGAAACCAATTGGGTAAGCAAGCATACATTTCAATCTTTTAAATGGTTTTTAGCATATCTATATAAATAAAAATGTAATATTAGTTTGTGGGATTAACATAATTCAAAAACCATTGGACGAATTCACACCAAATTTGGACATAATATACCTATCAGGCCAATGGATGTCCTTCACTTAACCTCCCCCCCCCAAAAAAAAAACAGTGAAAGGGACTTTAAAACCCAAACATGATAAAACAAGGTACAATGCATGCGTCAACATGACTGTGGTGAAGTGTTAATTTTAATCTGCAGTTATGTGTAATTATAGATAGCTGTTTAAAAGGGTAAGTACTAAGTATATACAATAGCATAACTGGGGGGGGGGATGGTAGCCAGCTTAGCTTACTTTGAGCTGAGTTGCCATGGAAAAGGAGTGGAGCTAACTGCCACTTGGCAGGGCAGCCATTTTAAAATAGTTAGTCTGTAGTCAGTGAACTATAGGGAAGGCTGGTTCTGTTGTATGTTGAGAACCAGTAAGGTAGTCTGTAGTCAGTGAACTACAGGGAAAGGTGTCAGTGTAAGAGCAAAAGGGGGAGGGAACCCTAATAAGAATCTTTATTGCAACAGAAATAACATAAGGAAAAGATAAGCTTGTACCTGAAGTAATATGTTAAAGAAATAAACACATTTTGAAGGAAAATAAGTTTAAAACCTGTTTAATGAAAGGAACAGTCCTCTTAAGAGTTGTTTTAGGAAATGTTATAAATGTAACCACTGAAGAAATGTGCCTCTAAGAGTTAAGAAACATGGAAACCATCAAGCTTCTTCTATACTTCAATAAACTTGTTACAGTTTCTTCTAAAGCCAAGTCTCTGTTACAAATACTTTCAAGTTAAGCCGCGCTACACATTGAAGAAAAACCAAATCAATATTACAAGCTATTAGTTGTGTTATCAATTTAATGAGTCCTTACAAAGTGGTGGCTCCTTTGCAAACTTTTACAAACTGGGTGCCATTGTTACAATGACCCACTGGCCCTCCCACTCCTGCATGAGCAGGGAGCATTGACTTCTCCGGTGGGCTGGGCAGGCAGACCCTCGGCTTCCCCAGGCCCCCAATTTGGTGTCTCCCCCCTCTCTCTCCCACTCGCAACCCCATGGGGCCCCTACCAACGTTGCCTTTGGGCCTACCTTCCCCCACCATGCCAGGGCCTCATGTGGGCTCTCTTTCCTCCCCTCCCTCCCAGTCTTCTTCCTCTCTTTGTTGGCCCCACCAAACACAGATCTCTCCTCCTTCTTTTACCTCTGGAGAGGTGAGTGAGTGGCTGTTCCTTGTAGGCACTGCTCACCAGGCTTCACCTTCCCTTGCCTGTGCGCTGACGGGAAGGGAGCTTTGCAGCCTTCAGCCTTGCTGAGCCCAGCGGGGGTGGGAGGCATTTTTCCAGGTGGGCCTTGCTTACCCACATTGGCCTCTTCTTTGTGCCACAGCCGCAGGGCGCCTTTCATATGACCCTGCCTTCATACCCACTCACCAAACAGGGAAGGCGCCCCGCAGCCATGGCAGAAAGAAGAAGGGCCAGTGCTGGGTGAGCGTGGTTTGCCTCAAAAAGCACCTCCCGCCTTCCCTGTGCCTGGCCCAGCAAGGCTGAGGGCTACAGCAAAGCTCTCTTCCTGTTCGTGCCCAGGCAAGAGGTACAGAAGGGAAGGAAGGAAGGAAAGAGGGAGAGAAGAAAGGAGAGAAAGAGGGCAGGAAAGAAAGAAGGAAAGAAAAGAGGTAGAGAAGAAAGAAAGGAGAGAAAGAAGGAAAAGAAAAGGGGGAGAGAGGAAGGAAAGAGAGAAGGAAAGAGGGAGGGAGGGAGGGAGGGAGGGAAGGAAGGAAGGAAGGAAGGAGAGAAAAAAGGGAGGGAAGATTGGCTACAGCAACGCGTGGCGGATACAGCTAGTTGTAAATAATAGAGTGAAAATACAGCTAAAAGACTCCAAACACTGAGAATAACTGAATGCAGGCTACTTTTTGCTCTTCAAACCCATTTTGTAGCAATAAGCTTAAGACAAAGGAGGAAGAGAAGGGCAAAATTTTTGGCATTTTAATAGTAGCTGGAAAAGGGAATGACAGAGGATTGAGACAGACTGTGTGTATGTGGTTTTGGAAAGATAACTAAGATCAGGCCTAGTTGGTGACTGGATGGAAAACTGGATGGAAAACTGAGGATGTTTCCAAAGCATCCCCATTGGGTGCATCTGCTCTGCAGAATGAACTCAACACTATGGAATACTAGGAGTTGTAGTTTTGCATGGCCTTCTCTGCCAAAGAGTGCTGGTGCCCCAGCAAACTACATCTCCCAAGATTGCATAGCATGGAGCTATGGCAATTAAAGTCCATTAATTCTAAAATATTCATGTACCCAATGAAAACATAGTTCTTCCACTCTCCCCTGTCCGTCAACTGCTCCCAAAGTGTAAAATAACACAATGTTTTCTCCTCTGTCCTCCTCCTTCTCCCATTCCTCATAATTTGAGCTCGCTCCTTTGAGATCACTCCGTGATCTTCCTCCTGATGTGCAAGGACTGTGAAGACATTCTTCCTTCCCCTCCATTTCTAATTCTGTTTTCTTTAGGATAAAGCCTTGCCAGGAGCAACCTTGAAGACCAGCCCTGCAGATCACGATGGCCTTTGAGATGCCTCGCTCTGGACTTCAACATCGAAAGGATTGCATCACATGGACCCTTTTTTTCAATGTTTTCACAATGCACCTCTTGTTTCCCCTCCAATGGAGATTGTCCTTCCTTTCCCTGATGCCAGACCTCCAAATGCCAGGAGGTCACGTTGCCCTTAAGTCTTCTTTATCTTGGGCTAACTTGTCCTCAATGCCACGACTCCACCTCATGACAAACGAAGAAAGGTTAATCTTTGGAAGCTACGCTGCCAAGAAATGGCCAGTTACCATACTGACTGGGGAATTCTGGGAGTAGAAATCTGAAAAAGGAACCTTCCACATCCTGGAAGAACAAAAAGCTTATTTGGTGTCATTTCTTTCAATGCATAATGTGTTAGGGCTAGCAGAAGAATCGCAGAAGCACTGAATAATGGACTCTGGAGTCACCGGTAAAAAGCAGGTTTCAGCTTTTCTTGAGCAGTTCATAAATCTAACACACACCATCAGCGAGCAGATGCGAAGAAGACAAAGCGAAAGAGATAGGCACTAAAGACAAACTGCAGCTGGAAAGGAGTTATCTCTGACACTCCCTAATTCTTCACACAGCAGGAAACTCAGGGTCACATTCTCACAGCTCTTTTGTGTAAACATACATCCTGGCAATACAATTCTATTACAGTCTATTACAATCACAATCCTATCACATAAAATTGCATTTAAACATACATCTTACATGAAATACACACTGACATAATGGTGGGGTTTGGACCTAGAAGCTATGGGTTCAGGTCTCAGCGTGTCTCAGGGTGCAGTGATAGAGCAGGCTGGGAATGAAACACATCTATCCAAACTCCACCAGTTTCAAAGGCAATCCGTGTTCCACAACAATAAAGAAATTCTTCCTAAAGTTTAGCTGAAAACTCATTTATTTGGGTCCATTGATTCATGACAAACGTGCATCTACATTGTAGAACTAATGCAGTTTGACAACACTTCAATCATCAGGGTTCAATGCTATGGAATCCTGGGATTTCCAGCCTTGTCTTTGGCAGAGAAGGCAGAAAACTTTGCAAAACTTCAACTCCCAGGGTGACCTAGCATTGAGTGATGGCATGGAAAGCGGTGTCAAACTGCATTAATTCTACACTGTGGATGCACCCAAAGCTTGCATTTCAGCTACAAGCTCATGCCTTATTTCCTCAAGCTTTTACCAAATCTTCCCAGTTCAAATCCTTCCACTTTATTCATGTTCATACTTTACTAATTTGAAGGTTAATTTAAATGAATCTCTCTCTCTCTCTTTCCTTTTGTATTTTACCCTTAAATGTTGTAATGCATTTTGAAAACTGTCCTGGGAATATGATTGAAGGGCAGCATTTATATATACTAATATATGTATATTTAAAATTAAATTAAAATATATAAACAAATAAGTGAAAGAGTCCAATTGCCTGGCTTGGGATTAGTCAGATCCAATTCTAGGCCAGGCCCTTTCCACACTGCCATGTAATCCAGATAATCTGCATTATCTGTTTTGAATTGGATTATATGAGTCTATACTGCCATATAATCCAGTTCAAAGCAGATAATGTAGATTTCATATGGCAATGTAAAAGGGGTTCTACAGAAAGCAATATCCTGTATCCTATAAACTATAGCTGTGTCTACACTGTAGAATGAATGCAGCTTGACACTACTTTTATTGCCATGGTTCCATGCTGGGAGTTGTAGTTTGGCAAGTCCCAGCAGATTAAGCTATGGACATTGACTCCAAAGCAGTTAAAGTGGTGTCAACCTGTATTAGCTGTACATTATAGATGCACCCTTAAGTCTTCCTGAATGTATAGAGTACAAAATGAATTCTGACACAGAAGTGTCGGGTGCATCTACATTGCAGAATGAATGCAGATTGACACCACTTTCACTGCCATGTCCCAGTGCTATGGAATTATGTCAGTTGTAGTTTTTCAAGACTCCTTTTGTGCACAAAAGGGCTGTTTTAAATCTCATTGTATAGAAGAAAGTGGGGTTGTTGTTGTTCCTCCTGGAATTGTTTGGGATCTTGAATCCCTTGCATCTGGCTTTGGACCCCTCTGCATCCTTGGACCAAAGCAAGGTCTTGGTCTTTGCCTCGTTGATGTTGTTTCATCCTGTTTCCTTTCCCGTGTGTGCAATTAGTCACAGTGAATGACAGAGGACAAAAGAGGAGGAGCACCACACCCAAGAAGAGCCTCCCTACTTGGTGGAAGTATTGACACAAGGGAGGAGGAAAGGGCGGCCAGAGTGTTTGCACAAAGGGATTTTCTCAGCTTGGCAGTCCAAAGATACTGTGCCTAATTGTGTCCTTTGGAGGATCAGTTGACAGGCCGAGGAGATAACACCAGTGCTGTGCCAACAAAGCTTTCGGATGCAACTCCACCTGCCATGTTTATGTAAGAAGCAGTTGTATAATCAAGGATGAAGACGTATATCATCAGAGGCATGTGCAGCGCCCTACAAGGCAGCCTTCTGTTTCCAGATAATAATGCTATGTAACACAATGTATTGTCGAAGGCTTTCATGGCCGGAATCACTGGGTTGTTGTAGGTTTTTTCGGGCTATATGGCCATGTTCTAGAGGCATTCTCTCCTGACATTTCGCCTGCATCTATGGCAAGCATCCTCAGAGATAGTGAGGTCTGTTGGAACTAGGAAAGTGGGTTTATATATCTGTGGAATGGCCAGGGTGGGACAAAGGACTCTTGTCTGCTGGAGCTAGGTGTGAATGTTTCAACTGACCACCTTAATTAGCCTTTGATGGCCTTGCAGTGCTTGGGACAATCTTTTGTTGGGAGATGATTGATTAGCTGTCCCTGATTGTTTACTCTCTGTTGTTTTGCTGTTGGTTCATCAGGTTTTATGCTATGGCTGACTTCTCTGGTTGAAGTAGTCTGCGGTGCCTTTCATGTTCCATAGCCGAGCACCTGATGAACCAACCTGGACACAGCAGATTATCTGAGAACACAGAAACGCTGAACCACTCTCACAACCACCATGTCAGACTACGCAGAGAAGCCATTGAAATCCACAAGGATGCTTGCCATAGATGCAGGCGAAACGTCAGGAGAGAATGCCTCTAGAACATGGCCATATAGACCAAAAAAACATACAACAACCCAGCAATTCCGGCTATGAAAGCCTTCGACAATACATTGACCTCTGAACAGTTTTTAAGATGTGGTGACTCAATGTGGAGAAGCAGCTATAAATTTGGGATGCATCTTCTGTAAGCTCACAGCAGCCGCTCCCAGAAAAGACACAGGACGCCAATCCGTAATCAATCAGGAAACCTTTACTACTGGAAATGCATACACAACGAAAGCCAGGATTGGCATGCAGCCGCAAATCAACCCCTTTTATACCCTCCCTCACAATTGAATTCCCCTTTCCCGCCAGCCGAGGATCCCGCCAATATTCCCCGCCAACTATCAACTGCTTTCCCTCAAGGCCACCAGCTGCACATCCTTATCAGCCCTCCAAGTCAGGACGTGGGTTTTTTGCGCCAATGTCCGAGGCCAGGAAACCGAGTCCTGACATGACGTCCCCCTCCTCCTCCTCTTCTTCCTGGAAGGGAAATACACGTCACTATTATGTTCCTTCTTTATCTAGTGGGCCTTGGTATTTTTTCAACAAGCTACAATGGAACGTTGGGTGTATCCTTCCTAAAACCTTTGGCAATTTCAACGTGTATGTTACATCATTTATTTTGTTGGAAATTCTAAAGGGACCAATGTATTTAGGAGACAATTTCCTGGAGGGTCCACTCAACTTAAGATTTCTGGTGCTCAACCATACCAATTCTCCTTCTTCCAACTTGTCTCCTTCCCTCCTTTTCCTGTCCGCAAACAACTTGTATTTTCGTTGAGCTTCTCTAAGTGATTTTGCTACTTCCTCCCAATTCGCCTTCACCTTGTCTGGCCACCCTTCCTCCCCCCACGGTTCCTCCTCCCAACT